GAAAAAGAAAAAGAAAAAGGAAACTCTGGTTAAAATTTAGTGTAAGAAAACAAAATGTGTTACCTTGAGGAATGTAATAACCATGTTGCCTTAGAATTCGAAATTGAAGAGCTGTGGCGTATAAGTTATTACTATAATTTTGTTCACTAATTTGGAACCTCTCGTTCATATTCTTTACTATTTCATTTATTTCTTTCTCAAAGTGATATGAGAGTCCAAGCCTTTGCAATTCATCGACTACCTCGAGCAGACGTAGAGGATCTCCAACCAATTCTCCGGTGAGCACCAATTTCACTTCGCTTTTTAGCATATCCCTCCTATTTAAACACTTATCTTCCTAAACGTACAAGCAAATAATATTAAAAATACCAAAATAACAAAAAACAAAAAATAAAATTTTTCATGCAACCATATTTTTTAGGAGGTTAATACAATTGAGCAAATATCAATTCACTCATGCAACAGTGTATAAAATGATATTCATATGGTCGCATCGATATTTAGTCAAATTGCGCCACTTTATAGGTCATGTATTACCTTTAAATCTTAAGGATACGACTAAACATAGTAAAAATAACATGAAAAGATTTGTTTCATGATATATTAAAGTTGGTCAGAGTGTTTACCCTGAATTCACTTGTCAACGACTGAACAAACTCGTAGTTCCAAATAGAAGGTTGGTAATTTGCAGATCGTCGAATAACAGGCTCGGCACCTTCTCGTGTAATCGTTTGAGAGAGAACATAAAACTTGGGATGGGAAGGAAGCCGTTGTGTGGTAGTAAAAGAGATGGGTGAAGGAAGAGAAAGGTGGAGAACACCCACTGCCATTGCCATTGCTACTCAAGCTGGAATTTAGTTTTGGCATAAGCAAGTATATTGCTTTTTATATGCAATTTTTCATGTTTCACATATCATTTTTGTGGTATATTATATCTAATCATTTGTGTGGTACACTATTTTTGTTTTAATATAAAAAGAACAGAAAAGAAAAACAAATAATATAATTAATTTGGGGTGGGCTCAACTAAAACGATGAAAACTTGGGTGGGTTCCACTTTCTCCATCACCGGTTGACCAACCGTATCAAAGTGAATAGAGCTTAGTAGTAATTGATACCTACTCCTTTTCATGAAGTCGGAGGTTCAAACCCTCGTAGTCAAATGTGTTGTACTAAAAAAAATACCACTTCATAGTTAATTGAGTTGAAAACTTGAAAATATAAAAAAGAGGTTACTAATGTCTTAATGGATTAAATTGTATAGTTTTGTTATTACAATAACTTTTTATCACTTGTGCTCAATGACTAACTTTATTGTCTTGGATTCAAGCCATATGGAACGTAACTTTCACTATTATTATTATTATTTTGTACAACATGTAAAGGTAGAGATTCGAATCATCGCCTTAAAGTAATCGAGACATGTTGAGGTTGGCCTTGTTTTTTGTATTCTTATAAGAAAACAACAACCCACTATTGGAATTATACCTCCTCAACATGATATATTTTGCTGGGCAATTATACCTGATATTTTTCTACTCTAATTTATTGCATTAAATCTTCTATTCTTCAATCTTCAATTTTGATTATCCTCGTTACCTTCTCATTAATTGTTTAATATATGGATTACATAGTTTCAAATAGTTATAAGTGGGATCTAGAACTTAAAAAAATAATGGGCTAAATTGAAATTGATTGATAAAATAAATATTAATATTTGAAAAAAAAAACACCATTGGGCCAGTGTTGGGGGTTGAACTGCACACAGCCGACCTATTCAAGCGAAGCCGAAACAGCCGACTTAACAGGTCGGCCTCGACAACATAGGCGGACTGGTCAATAGTAGCGACTGGAGGTCGCTTGGGACAGCCCCACCCAAACACAGGAATATCCTGATGGGACAGTTATCTACCCCATCAACCGCTATAAATACACCTCTCACCCATCGGCCGAGGTATGAAATCTGTATGACGCTGATTTGTTGAGCTCAGATTTAATACTAACTTGGGTGTCAGAGTGGCTTACCTCCTTGCAGGTACCCCGAGAGTTGCTCTAAGTGTGGCCAGCTGACCTCCCAGATCGTCATTCGTGTCTTGGCAGATTTTTGCATCAATAGTTGGTGCTGTATGTGGGAATCGACTGTCGTAGCCAGATCAAGCATATCGCTCAAACGCTAGTCATGACGAAGGGTTCCCAAATGCAAGCAACCACCATTTTAAGGACCCGAAAACTCAGCCGGGCGCTTTCAAACTACCTGCAAGTCGGAAGCCAAAAACCCGAGCGGACCCCCAGAGGTCGAAATCTCGCCTCCAGGTCAAGGTATTGTTCAACCTATAAAACAAAATAGACGTCATGAGGGCCCAGGTCGCAGCCTTGACTGAGGCATTAGAGACAGCGGGAGTGCCACTCCCCGAGCTCCTGGAGCTTGAGGTCTAGCATGACCCCAGAAGAGGGAAAGCAAAGGCCACGAGGGGAGACCAGGAGAGGTCGGTAGCGTGAACCTGTCGAAGCTCATCCTGGTGGGAAACGATCGCTCTTAGGGAAAAGACCTGCGTACCCATCCTTCTTCGTTGAATGAACGAGACCTCTACAAAGTTCTTGATAAGAATTAATTCTCCAAGAAAGACAATCCCTCGATAAGGTCGGAGTCGGTTAACAACGAGGACCTGCTGCAGCAGTTCGAGCAACTTCGAAAGGAGCTAAAAACGACTCCAAAAGGTCCAAGGGAAACCAATCTCAGACGATGATAAGCTCGACGAACCGCCCTTCACCCAGGGCATCTTTACCGCACCAATCTCATCCAAATGGAAACTCCTGAGCTTCTACAGGTACGTTGGATCCACCAATCTGGTGGACCATATAGAGACTTATGAGTGACCAATGGATTTCCACTCCTACCCTGGCGCGATGAAGTGTAGGGCATTCTCCGTGACTTTATAGGGGTCCACGAGGAATGGTACCGGTAGCTGTTGCCCCACTCCATTTCCTCCTGGAAGCAGCTGTGCAAGGTGTTTGTTGTTGGGAAAAAAATATAGATCTGGGAAAAAAATATAGATCAATCGATCCTCCTGTAAGTTCTTTAAACATAAACTATATGATTTTCCCCTTCCACAGGCTAAAAGCAAATAAGTAAGTAACAATAACAAATGAATAAGAGATAGGGATAGAAA